GCCCGGCAGGGCAGGGCCGCCCGGGGCCGGCTGGGAAATGTAGTTCCCTCGGCGGCGCCACCTGGGCGCGTGGCTCCGGGTCCTGCAAGCGGGACGCAGCACAGGTGGGCGGTGAGGTCGCGGTTGGCAGGCCAGCGGGCACGACATGCCGACTGCGACCCTGCAGCAGCAGGAGTCATCTGCACGAGAACCGTGGTTCCTACAACGCTGAGGTACTGCCCTGAGCGTCAGAGCGCCGTGTCTGAATACACGGCAGTCGCTCAACAAACACAGACCGAGGACCTCACATGTGCATGGTTGTTGACAGGAGTGAAGAACACAGCTCAGTAAGAAGGCCGTTTATATTGTTTATCTGTTGTGGTGGTTGTGTGGAAGAAGTCCTGGTAATGCCAGAGAAAACCTCCCGGGAAAGGTCCAGGCAGGGACCTGAAGTGGGACTTAGCCCGTCTTTCCAAGATATGTTGTTCTTTCCCTAATATCTGCCAGTTTCAGGTCTGTATTTGAAATCCTGATATGGGGGGCTCTACTTTCTCAGGCTGTTTATTCTATTTTCCTCTCATTCCAAATGTTAGAAATTCTTGAGAATAGAATAATAATAAATAACTGCTGACAAAATTAAAACTTGTATTTTACAGTTTTTCGAGGTTCATATAGGCAGATTCATTTGATCCTTAGGTCAACAATTTGATCAGAATTATTCCCGTTTTAGAGAGGAGAAAATGAAGGACTAGAGCTACGTCTTTTGAATACTTTAGCCACTCGTGACATGTGGCGCTATATAATGATGATCTGAAAATATACTCCAGTGTGTCAAAGTCCCAGCTACAGTTCCTTTCTAGAATTAATATAACTTAGACATGGAATCACAAGCAAATAACAGAGGGGGAGGGCTTTCCTTTTCCTTGTCCTAAGTTCTTGGATAAGAGGATATCCTATCATATTTTGGTAACTACATCTCATGGAGCTTATCAGCATTTATAAAATTCCCTGAGATCTTCAAATCAATGACTCTTAAAGACCCTCTCTATGATATGCAGTTATAGCTTGAACAAAACTTCAATGATACACATTACACCTTAATGCAGAATATTCCATAACAGTTACTGTAAAAGAGAATTAAAACCTAAAGCCCTGGAAAAGTCCTTCGCCCTGTTCTGTATCATGGACCCAAATTCTGTACCAAATTCTCTTTGTTAAATAAACTATGTAAGTTTTGTAATTATTGCATTGCTGTAACTATAGTGCATATGTTTAAAGATGTTTGAAGTATTATAAATAATTTTGTAGGCTACACATATCAGCTTGAATGTAATAAAATTTAAATTAGTTTTTCTTTTAAAAGAGCTGGCCAGGTGTGGTGGTGCACACCTGTAATCCTAGCACTTGTGGGAAGCTGAGGCAGGAGGATCATTGCGAGTTTGAGACCAGCCTGGGCTACAAAGTGAGCTCAAGGCCAGCCTGAACTGCATAGCGAGAACCTGTCTCAAAAAGACAAAAAAATTTTAAAAATAATAAAAATAAAAGAGCTTGTGTAACAAAAGTACCATAGACTGGGTCATTTAAATAACATTTATTTAGGAGCTAGGGGTATAGCTCACTGGTAGAGTGCATGCAGGAAACCTGGGTTGACCCCAGCACACAAAACAAAAACAATATTCTTCACAGCAGTGGAGGTTAGAAAGTCCAAGATCAAGGTGCTGGCAGATCAGGTGTCTGGTGAGGGCTACTTCCTGGCTTACAGACAGCAGCTTCCTCCTATCCTTACATAGTCCAGAGAGAGTGACGTCCCTTCTTGGTCTTCTAAAGACACAAATCCTACCATGGCAGTTTACCTCTGAGGACCTAATGTACCCTAAAACCCCATCTCCAATTATCATCATAGTAAGGATTCAAAAATATGAATCTTAGTGGGATTAAAAACATTCACACCTTAACGGAGTTTAAGAAGATACTTCTTCTCAGATTCATAAGCCTGAATTGTTAGGTGTTTAGCATGTATGAGAAAACAAATTACAAAGTACTTATGCATATATTGTTTAATGTTTGGGAAATTTATTCTGCTATGGTTTTGAGTTGATTGAATATTAATCAAAGAAGAAGTGAATGTGATCAACTTTTTTTACAAAAAATAAGTAGGCCGAGGCTAAAATTTTAAGAAAAATACATTTAAAATGTTAGGAATTACCAAATTCAATACTGATAAAATAATAATAATAAGTATTCCTTTTGTAAATTAATGGCTTCTCAGGAAGAAAAAACTTAAAACATGGTGAAGGGAGCCAGGCGTGGTGGCACATGCCTATAATCCCAGCACTTGGGAGGCTGAGGCAGAAGCACCACTGTGAGTTCAAGGCCAGCCTGCGCTACATAGTGAATTCAAGGCCAGCCTGAACCGTACAGTGAGATCACATCTCAAAGAAGAAAAAAAAAAAAAACATGGTGAAGGGAATGGCACATTCTATGTGCTTGTGTACCTGGCATGTGCTGTTGAAGAACTGTACCAGTTGCTCCATCCCAGTGACCTTCAAGGAATGAGTAAAATACAGATAGTAATGAAGTCTTGAAAGAGAAATCACCTCTACTTGCCACCAAGGCCCCGCAGTTTACCCCATTTCTTGCCCTACAACAGCACAAATGCATTAAGAAGTCTTTCTAATGTGGCTTTTAATGCAGTGCTAAATGAGAGAGCAGTACGTTGGGCAGCTTTTTGTTGCTATAACTAAATACCTAAGAAAAAATACCTAAAGGAAAGATCTATTTTGGCTTATGTTTTTGGAGGTTTCAGTCCATAGTCAGCTTGGCTCCAAGGCATAAACAGCATGGCAGAAAGGCATGGCAGAGGAAAGCTGCTCATTTCATGGCAGCCAGGAAGCAGAGAGGGTTAGAAAGAATGAGACAGGGAGAGAGAGTGTGAGAGAGGGAGAGAGATGAGAGAGAGAGAGGAGAGAGAGGAGAGAAAAGAGGAAGAAGAAGGGGAGACAAGACAAAAGGGAAGGGAAGGGAAGGGAAGGGAAGGGAAGGGAAGGGAAGGGAAGGGAAGGGAAGGGAAGGGAAGGGAAAGAGGGCTGGGATCAAGGTTTACCCTTGAAAGGCATTTCTCCAGTGACCCACTTCCTCCAACTAGGCCCCATCTTCTAACAGACCATTCAGCCAATAGACTTACCATGGACTCAGCCTGTTGAGGTCAGCATCCTCATGATCCAGTCACCTCTCCAGGCATCACCTGTGCACAGTGCTCCATTGGAGAGCAAACATTCAATACATGAGTCTTTGGGGAACACTTCATATTTCATCGTAACAGGCACTTTGGGAACAATGAATGTCTTTTAAAACTGGATTACGGTTGCCCAGCTCTGAATTGTCTAAAAAGCATTAAATCATATAATGAATTTGAAGGATTTTATGGAAGGTAAATCATACCACAGTAAAGCTTTAAAAAAAAAAAAAAAAAGGTGGTGGTGGGGACTCTAAAGCAGGAATGAGGGAAAACCTCACATCTAAGAAATTCTGAGTTTCCACCACTCCAGAAAAGTGAGGTTGTTGCCAGGACCCTAGAGGAACGAATACATCATCCACAGTGAGCATTTAAGTGAAAGGAAAAAATAAAAGAATCAACAACAGAAAATTAGTGCACTGACAAGAATCAGTCATTACCTTTCAGGAATAACTCTCAGTATAAATGGTCTTAATTCCCCAGTCAAAACACAAATTGGTGGCCTGGATCAAAAAACTCATATGCTGTATACCAGAGAAAAAACCCATATGTTGTATACCAGAGAAACAACCTATCCATAAAGACACACACAGACTAAAAATCAACGAATGGAAACTGATACTGTATACAAAAGGAGCCCACAAGAAAGCAAAACTAGCTGTCCTGTTTTCAGACAAAGCGGACTTCAACCTAAAATTAATCAGAAAAGACCAAGAAGTTTACTACATACTGGTAAAGGGAACAATTCAACAGGAAGAGATAGTAATTGTAATTATACTACCAAATGCTCACACACCTATCTTCATAAAATAAATACTACTGAATATG